TTGAATATTTAGTAAGAAAAGAAAAAAACAGTGCGAATTGAATGTTCAATTGTCTTTAATGCTTTAATGAAACTGGTTGAATTTTTCCTTATTTTCTTTATGTTTATAGGAAGTTTTGTTAATTGACTTTAGGGTTGCTCCTGTATCTGCTTTTTAACGAGAATGCACTACAAATTTGCCGATAGCATTGTTTTCTGAATACACCTGCATCCAGAACTCCTCTTGGCTTAATTCATGGTATTTCTGTTTTCAACAGCTGTCTTCGCTGATCTCAGGCAGATTTGGAAAATTTCATTGATTATTGCCGCGGCACACCTGGCTAACGTTTGCGGCACCCCTGGGTGCCGAGGCACCTAGTTTGAGATTCGCTGTTCTGTAAAACCATTGATCCGGTGCTGTGCCTCTCATTGTTCTTAGTTGTTTTTGGTGACTCTTGTCTCTTATTAGTTTTACTCCCCGTAGAATTTCTTATAATCTCTTCTCATATATAATTTTGCGTTTATGTTGTTCTCAAACTGTCCATGTCTGACGTTGATAGCACACAGTTGGTACGAATAGCGCTTGTATCAGCAGCGTTCCCAACTTGACCGGCCTAGGATAATTCTGATCTCCTGAATTCTCGGATCCCCGTTTGAGTTCCGGGTTCCCACTTTGGGGAAAAACGAGAATAGACTTACTGCCTGCCCAAAAGCATGTCGTAAGAGACGACTACTAGGGAGCTTCCTTCAAAGTCGGAGTACATCTGCACAGTCTGCATGTAAATGAGTCAGACCTGTGAAAGAGATGTACACGCAACACTCAGGTTCTGGAACAGGACTGGGGTCCAGAAGTGGATGAACAACCAGAACTTTTCGCCGGAGTTTACAGCCGGGGAACGCGCAGAAGAAAAAGAAGAATTCCCGAGAAAGGGAACTAACTGCTAGAGACCAATCACCTGGTAAGTTATAACATTTCAGTGACCTTACAACGGCGTCACCTAGCAACCATTTCCCAATTGCGTTGTGTACATAAGATGGTATATGGCAACGTAATGTGACTACTTTCACGGGAAATGAAGTTATGATCCGAATGAGCTCCCCTCTGGCGTGAAACACGATAGACTGTACTTATGAACGGCAGTCTGAAAGCCGATTATGTCTCTTTCGACTGCAGAGTAAGTCGGGATAATGATATTGAGGTTTGCCTGTTATTTAGTCTGTGGGTTGTTCCGAGGATTTTTTCCCGGGAAGTGGTAAATAAAAAAGCTAGTAATTAACTCGTATAACTTCATTTTCGTGTGTCTTTTCTGAGGTAGACATCGGCTTTTTTGTTCAGCGATAAACTTTTGTTTAGTGTCTATTCCAATGTGGGTCTTAAACAGGAATGTTTTTTCAAGGTCTTCATCGATGCCCCATAGTTTGCAGGCATCGGCCTCACACAATGCCTGAAAGTCCTCTCTGTCATTTGATACTATGATAACCAGTCTAACCGAAATGCAGCATTAAAAGTCTATGAAAGAGCACGAGCAAATTCAAATTAATATTTTGAGAGCAGGCATCTTCGCTGTAGCAACATACAGATGTCAGTCGTTGACTATCTTCCCTATAGAGTACGTGTGAGTCTGGACTATCTGTCAACATAGCTGTAGTCATGGACTATCTTCCCTGTAACAACATAAGGTTGTGAGTCGTGGACTATCTTTCTTGTAGCAACATAAGGTTGTGAGTCATGGACTATCTTCCCTGTAGCAACATAAGGTTGTGAGTCATGGACTATCTTTCTTGTAGCAACATAAGGTTGTGAGTCGTGGACTATCTTCCCTGTAGCAACATAGCGGTGTAAGTCATGGACTATCTTCCCTGTAGCAACATAGCGGTGTAAGTCATGGACTATCTTCCCTGTAGCAACATAGCGGTGTAAGTCATGGACTATCTTCCCTGTAGCAACATATGGTAGTGAGTCGTGGACTATCTTGCCTGTAGCAACATATGGTAGTGAGTCGTGGACTATCTTCCCTGTAGCAACATATGGTAGTGAGTCGTGGACTATCTTCCCTGTAGCAACATAGCGGTGTGAGTCGTGGACTAAGCAACATATGGTAGTGAGTCGTGGACTATCTCCTAGTTCTTAAGAAAGAAAATAGGGGCTTTTTAGCTGAAATGCTATAGAAATATTCTCAGAATACCTTGGATAAAAAGAAAAAATAGTGACATTTTAAAAGATCTGAACATCAAGGAAGATTGGCTAATAAACAGCATCCTGTCTCGATAGCTGAAATATTTTGGTCATATCAAGCGCCACGGCGGATTGGAAAAAATAATAGCAGAAGGCATGATACCAGGAAGGAGGAGCAGGAGCCGACCAACAAGAAGATGGGCACAGGATATAAGTGACTCCTTAAATATGAAAGTACACAAGGCGATAGAGCTGGCGAGAGACCGAGTTTCTTTCAGGCAGACCGTGATGAGAAGGACGTTCTGCAAAGGACCTGCTTTAAGATGATGTGTCTAGCTTATATGCAGACATTCTCGAGAGACTGGGAATGATAAGAGAGTTGCTGGAAGAATTAAAAGACAGACAGATGAAATACTTAACCGAAATGAAAGGGTCTAATACTCCTATGCATAAAGCATTATTACAAATTTTCTAAAACAGTCTTACGACAAATCTTTGGACCCATCAAAGATGCAAACAGTGGGGAATGGAGATTAAGAAGCAACAACGAAATTCATAATCTGTTTAAATTACCATTGATCACTGGCATCACGAGAGCTAATAGACTGAAATGGCTGGGGTATTTTGAAAGAATGTCAGATTACAGAGAAGTAAGAACTGTATACAGAAGGGACCTGAATGGTCGTAGACTACGAGGCAGACCAAGAAGACGATGGAGAGATAAGATCCAGATAGACCTGCAAATACTTGATGTCACCAACTGGAAAGAAAAGGCCCACCATAAAGATGAATGGTGATATCTGCAGCAATGAACCTCAAGGGCTCTGAATGTTGAAGAAGAAGAATAATACACTTACCACTTTCAGGAACACTGAAATCATAATGCGTTTGACTGGTTTATGTTTATGTGGCACATATTTCTTTAATATTTATGACGCGTTCATCTGTTATTTAAAAAAAAAATTCGAACACATTTATTACTATATCTTCTTCTGTCTCAAAGTTGTATTTTAGAATAAGATTAAACTGAAATATCTTTATATATTGTCCTCCAAAGTTTGTAACCTTATGAAAATAAAGTGTGTTGATGCATTCCTTCGTTAATGTTTGGAGGTTTAGACAATGTAACAACATCATGGCACACGGGTAGTACCCATAAGTGCTCCATTCTACCTTCTAACTCAATCTTGAGTCCGAAGAACCTCAGCGCAATGCACGAACTCTGTAGCACCGGCGAGGATCCTAAAATACTTTGGCTATATATTTTTAACTGCAAATTTTGTCTGGGCAGCGCTGTTAGGGTACTCTTTTTGATTTCTAACTCTCATGGTATTTTTTTTTAACCTGCGCAACAATACACACGATCGTCCGATATTACCACCCAGAGACCAGGGAAAATTACTAGAAGTTTACGTGAACAAATCCCAGCTTTCACCGGGGCCTGAACCCAGGACCTCCACCACTCGAGGCGGACGACATTACTCTAGACCACTTAGCCCCCCCCCCCCCTCTCCTCTTCTGTTTCTTTATTATAGAACTTTAATTAGGACACGCATAATGGTTACACCAGCTGTCCATTTAGTCTTTCCTCTTGAGCCTAGGGCAGATCATAGGGCAGAGGCCATAGCTCTCTGTCCATGTCAGGCGGTTCGTTGTCCCCTTCTGTAGATCTCGGATGTTTGTTTACTCCATGGCCAGCTCTTCTTCTCCCGGAAGTCTCGGTGTTAGCTCCATGTCTGTGCCTTCCCCGAAGATGGTTCTACGCAGGGTCTCTATTGGTCTTCGCCGTTTTCATTTTCCTTTCGGTGTGGGTTTGATGAGGAGTCTGGTCTTTTCCACACTGACTGCATGGCCGAGAAGTTCCAGCAGCGCTTTCTTATAAAACTGGATACATTATCTTCCTTGGTCCAGTGCCAGCAGGCAATTGTATCACTGTTGTCATGTCTCTGGCATTTTCTTGGTTTTAATAACGGGTTTTCCCAGCTACTGGGCTACAGAAGCTAATGAAGGTAAACCGATGTGCTCACTACCTATCACTCAAGCATGACCCGGTCAGGACAAACATGCAACCTCGTGTAAGAAAACAGGCTCCATGCACGCATGTGACCCCCATGGGGAGTATAGCCCTCGGCATTTGACAGATGTACCGTCCACATCAGGCGATGTTTCGATGACCCTAGACTAGGCCTCCTGACGGGAGTCCGAACCAAAGGACACGGGGTGATGAAGTGGACCTTTTGTTTTCTGCTGCGGCTGTTGAATTCGTGTATTCCTAATTATCATTTGTCGTGTATTTACCACTTCTGTGAATTCGCAATCCAGTATGTTTAGGTTAGGGTTTAAACAATGGATCAACATTATGGCACAAGTGTAGTAACCCATAACTGCTCCGTGGTAACTCAAGTGCAGCCACAATGAGGTGGCTGGGAGTTGGTATGGATAAGTACAGTGTCGTCATCAGTTTGCAGGCATTTCCTCATCAAGAATCTGCAGACCCGGTGCATCTCGGGAAGGGGACAGAAGTACATTTGTGTGCACCGAATTCTCATTGCTGAATAATTTAGTTCGATGCCGTCTGGGTGATTAAAGCCATTGTATATAGTTCTATTGTTGAAATCCCCCAGTCTTTTCCCATAATAAGTGCATATCGTTGCCACCACGTTAAGGTCACATCAGTGCAGTTGTGGAGATGTTTCCCTACCAACACCCTCACATACATAACTTTCTCGCATTAAAGTTAAAAGTTAGTTGCGTATCCTTTACAGGACGTTGCGGAGCCAACCCCAGCATGGTGCTGTTGTGTGTGGTGCTGTTGTGTGTGGTGCTGTTGAGTGTGGTGCTGTTGGATGCGGTACTGTTGTGTATGGTGCTGTTGTGTATGTGGTGCTGTTAGGTGTGGTGCTGTTATGTGTGGTGCTGTTGTGTGTGGTGCTGTTGTGTGTGATGCTGTTGTGTGTGGTGCTGTTGTGTGTGGTGCTGTTGTGGTGCTGTTGTACTGTTGTGGTGTGGTGCTGTGTGGTGCTGTGGGTGGTGCTGTTGTGTGTGGTGCTGTGGTTGTGTGTGGTGCTGTTGTGTGTGGTGCTGTTGTGTGTGGTGCTGTTGGGTGTGGTGCTGTTGAGTATGATGTTGTTGGGTGTGGTGCTGTTGAGTATGATGTTGTTGGGTGTGGTGCTGTTGGATGCGGTACTGTTGGGTGTGGTGCTGTTGAGTATGATGTTGTTGGGTGTGGTGCTGTTGGGTGTGGTGCTGTTGTGTGTGGTGCTGTTGTGTGTGGTGCTGTTGGGTGTGGTGCTGTTGGTGTGGTGCTGTTGAGTGTGTGTTGGGTGTGGTGCTGTTGGGTGTGGTGCTGTTGGGTGTGGTGCTGTTGTGTGTGA